TCTGGAGCTGCTTGAGTTCAATGCTCTTGTTTGCTGTTCCCAACCCAAAGTCATCATCCTCGTCTAAACTATCTGCACACTTGCTACAAGACTCATTTGATATCGCATTGATGGACTCCTCGACCTTGAGGGTCCGTTTATTATAGATACGATATGCTATGCTATTCACAACAAGGCCAAGGAAGATTGATTCATATGATTTTGAATCAAACTTTCCTAGGTGATCTTTAGTGTTCATAACAAACATTTGCATCCGAAGGGATGGAAGTAGTTTAGATTTGACTGCCTGTTTTTCCAGAGTTCATAAGAAGTTTTATTTAGCTTACGTCTAATGAGAGCCCTATTTGTAACATAACAGGCTATATTAATTGCTTCTCCCCAAAATTGTTTTGATAGACCATAGTCAGTTAACATAGTTCTGGCTATGTCAATAAGAGTTCTGTTCTTTCTTTCTACCACCCCATTTTGCTGGGGTGTTTTGGGTGCTGAAAATTGTGTGATATGCCCTTTTTTGCAGAAGCTTTCAAATTTTTCATAAATAAATTCTCCTCCATGATCACTTTTTTATGTTGACTATACCTGATTGCTTTTCATTTTCAACACGTTTGACAAAATCTTTGAAGCTTTGATAAGCTTCATCCTTGCTTGTCAGAAACAAGACCCAGATAAACCTAGAAAAGTCATCTACGATTACAAAGGCATAGTATTTACCTCCTAGACTCACTACATTACTTGGTCCAAATAAGTCTAAATGTAAAATTTCTAAGGGTCCAGATGTAGAGATGACAGATTTGGTTTTGAAGGATGATCTAGTGTGTTTGCCTTTCGCACACGCATAACAGAAGAACTCCTTCTTGCCGAGGAGTTTTGGTATTCCTCTGACAATCCCTAGGTTCACAAGTTTTGATAATATTCCAATGCTTATGTGCCCCAATCTCCTATGCCACTCAAATTGATCATTTCTGTCGACGGAAACTAGGCACGTTTCATTAAAGGCGGATTTGTCTTCAAGTTAAATTGTGTACAATTTTCCTTTTCTCTTCCCATTGTAAATAGGCTTTTTAGTTAGAATGTTTTCAACAAAGCATTTGTCTTGTTCAAAAATGACTCTGTTTTCACTGCCACACAAGTGTTTTAAGTCCTTTACAAATAAGACATTACTTATAGATGGTACTATTCCTACCTGACCCCTTCCTAAGATTTCATTACTAAAATTATCCCCGAAAAAGACTTTTCCTTTGTTTTCTAGAGTTAGTTTTGTGAAAAGATTTTTATTACCCGTCATATGGTGTGAGCATCCACTGTCAAGTATCCACACGCTGCCCTTCATGCTCACTTGAGGACAGGTCTGCACACAAACAAATATGCTCACTTAGTTTTGGGTATCCAAACAAGTTTGGATACTCTCCAGGGTTGATAAATCTTGTTAAATGTTTTACCATGTTGTTCTATATTGTGACTGCACATAGGTTTTTCTTTGTTTTCTTTTGCAATTCTTTTCCTGCAATGAGCAATATAATGACCTGTTTTGTGGCAGTAAAAACACATCGGATGTTTTTCCTTTTTAGACACATACTGCCTATTTTGACTCTTGACAGAAGTAAATATTGTCTTGTTTCTAGTTCTAGCTAATTCTTCTTCAGTATCTCTGATTTTCTTTTTCAGCTTTGCATTCTCATATTCCATTTTCCTGAGTTGGTTTTCCACACTAAGTTTCTCAGTTTTTAGTAATTCAAACTCTGTTTCCAGGGCTTCATATTTTGCTTTAATTAAGGAATGCTTGTGCTTAACATTTATCAATTCAATTTGAATATCTTTGATGGTTTCATCTAGTTGATCATTCTCACTATATGAGTCAGAGTAATAGGATCTTACCTGTGATTCCTCTTCACCACTTTCATCAACTGGCATGTATGCACTGAACCTTTGACAGGATTCATCTTCATCCTCCTCGCTGCAGCTCCAAGTTGCGTAGGATCTTTCCCTTTTAGTTAAGGGACATTCTGCCTTGATGTGCCCTGTCTTTCCACACTTGAAACATCCAGCTTGAGGCTATGATCGTTCAGTGCTTACTTCCTTCTCTTTTGTTTCGAGACAAGTATTGGCTTCCCTTGCTTGTCTCTTTATCATTTTCTCATTCTCTTGATCTGCTTGGGAAGTTTCCACATTTCTTTTCTCTTCTCATCCTTAGGATCTTGGCAACATGCTTTCTAAGCATAGCAAGTTCTTCGTCTTCCATTTCTTCAAGACTTTCCAGTTCTTCTTCTTGAGATGTAGCCTTGAAATCAATTCCTTTCTTTTTCTCTTTTAGGTTCCTCCAGATCCTCTCTTCTTAATTTTTCTTCATGCGTGATCAATGATCCAATAAGCTCATCCAGACTTAGTTTGGTGAGATCCTTGGACTCCTCTATTGCTGTGACCTTGGGCGTCCATTTCTTAGGTAATGCCCAAAGAACCTTCCGAACCAGATCAGCACTGGCGTACTCTACCTCTAGGTTTCTCCAACTATTTACAATCATGGTGAATCATTCATTCATGTTCTTGATTGATTCATCAAGCTACATGACGAACATTCGAACTCTTGTTTGGGACTGTCTATCCTTGAAATTTTGACTTGGGAAGTACCTTCGTGAGCGACTTGCAGTTTGTCCCAAATCTCCTTTGTCGATTTGCAGCTAGTCACTCTGTGATACTCTTCTGGTCCCAAAGCACTATACATCAGATTTGTTGCCTTCGAGTTCAACTGAAAGTTTCTCTTATCAGCTTCCGTCCATTTTCCCCGTGCTTCCTTTACTTCCAGCGGATCGGCCATGACAATATTCCATAGGTCTGGGTCTGTTGAGCCAAAAAGAGTTACATTCGATTTCTCCAGTAGCCGTAATGAACACCTTCAAACAGTGGCATACTTGTTTGCGAAAACCCATATGCCATTAAGATTCTAGTTGATGCTGATCCCGAGCTCATCTTCTCCGAAGATGATTACACCTGTAACGCTAGAGCCGAACTCTGATACCTCATGTAAGTGGGTCGAGCGCGAGACCGAACTCTTCTTCACTATAGTTTTCTACCCTTTCGTTTGGCTGCAAAAAACCCTAATCGCACAAATGGGGATCAAGTGAAGAAATCTCGAAATGAAGACGAAAGCAGAGAAATATAATCAACGTATATTTTATTCAGGGTTAAAACTAAACAGACTATTTGTAAATAGAGTGGGCTGGGCTTTGCGTTCTTTTTCGTTTGGTTTGCACCTCAGATCAGTTGGGCTTGGTCCACGAGACCCAACCGCAGCGGCAGACCGTCTTCCCTGAAGTTCTGTTCTGCAGCTCCCCTGTTTCAATCTCAAACACACAGAAAGCAGAACAGAGAACACAACACACAGTAAAAGTAAGAAGACAAGACACAAGATCGAATTTTTACGTGGTATCCGATATTGGGAGAATAAGGATCCGAATATCGACTAATCCATGGTAGGAGATTCTCCTCTTGAGATCTCCTACGTAACTACTACTTCGAGTTCACCTGTTCTTCTTACAAGTGATGAACAACTTGGCTAAGCTCCCTGCCTAACCAGTTGCCCCCATCTCTGATGTTTCAACTCCCTGTTTATACACTCAAACTAACTACACAAATCTCTCTGACTTGCTAGCTCACAGTTTTCACTCAAAAGACTACGATTAATCTCACAATGACACAACTTTTAATCTCCTTGAAAACGTGTGTTCGCCAGTTTTTCTCCTTTGCCTTTTTATAATCCTTTGCCCTTGAATTAGCCGTTGTGAAGGGTTTTGATTTGATTTCCCAGAATCTGTTGTAACCTTCCTTCCTGAGACCTGCCTTCTTTGCTTTGATTGATTCCTTCGGTTCTTTCCTTCTTTGTTTTTGACAGGCTTCTCTCAACACATAGCCAATGCAAACAAATGATCTCATTGGACCGACAAGAAATGTTCATTGATAACTAAAGTGTGTTCATGTTACAAGCATCTATTATGATCTAGTTTAGGTCTCTAAAGAAACCTTCATCAAATCCTATGAGGGATTTCAGTGGCACTAAAGACATTCCAATATCAATTTACGTCGTTTATAGAAATGTGAGCATCACATATGTTTTCAAATTATACAAATCATCATTAAAATAATGAATCTTAATCAAGCTTATGAAAATACCATCATAGACACATTATTGACCCAACAGACACACATTATTGCTCATATGTGAAATGCTTTTTGTGAACAACAAACATTGGTATTTAAAAAAAAAGTGAAAGAAGTAGAAAATTGACAGAAAATGGTAACGAGAGAATGAAATTCCACAATTTTCACTCATGAGAATATGGATATAACCACTCAATTCTTGATTACTCTTTTTCTTACCTTGAATCAAGGAAAGATTGACAAAATGAAGGAATCCGGAAAAAGCGGATCTTGTAGCCCTATTCACCAGAAAAATACATTGCTCATTTACTAAAATTAAAAATACCAAAGAGAAACCTAAGAAATTTATCCCTTCTTCACAACCCAAAGCTCATAGAACTAGGAAAAAAAACCTTTTCGAAAATTTTGCCAAAGAATTCTTACACCAAATTCAACAAATCTTCTGTTTGTCTCAAATGCCGACCCCATGTTTCTTTGCGTGAATGAATAGATAAAAAAAATCAAGAAAGATGGGTTTGGATGTAAAGGCCATTGTCATTACAATTTGTAAATTCTCCTTCAAAAGTATGTGTAAATGTGTAAAGAAATATCCTATCCTCTCAGGACTTATGTGCATAATCTTTCTCATATACGTATTCAATCCTTCAATTTTTGTTTTCTTGATCTACACTTCCCCATTAATCGTTGTCACTACGCTCCTCTATCGGTTATACTTGAAACGTAGAAAGAGTAAAAATGTCATCAATAAAGAGAGAAAAATTGAGAAGTATTCAATCTCTTCTACTGTTGGAGGGAAGACCAAGTCCGTCGAGTCTGATCGACCGGTTCCCACCAAGCCCACTCGATCGATGTCTCAGAGGAGGAATAAAGAGAAGTTCTTCGTGGACGCTGATCCAACAACTGCCCAAGAAATTAAAGCCAGCATTAGTGATTTTCTCATGGCGGCTGCTCCAACAACCAATTTGGATTTGCTAGACAAAGTTGGCTTTACTAATGAAAGAGATACAAATGATGAATCAAGAATAATGAAAGAACATCAAGAAGGACAAGGCTCCCTCGACGAGAGTAAGGATTCGTTGCTTGATGGTGAGACATCAAATCATGATAATCATCTAAGTGATTTTCCCCTTAAAAGTCGACATTGGGTCAAAGGCATTGGAGGAGAAGAGTTTGGAAGCTCAGAAGAAGATGCAGAGATTCATGAGGATAGAAACCATGCGGTGGAGTGGAACGAAGACGATCAGAAGAATTTGATGGATTTGGGGATCTCAGAGATTGAAAGAAATAAGCGTCTAGAGAGCTTGATTGCGAGGAGGAGAGAGAAAAAGTTGTTCAAGATGAAAACCGAGAAAGGGATGGTAGATATAAATATCGGCCCTTGTTCCTCACCTAGTGCGTCGACAACATCAATTATTGCTCCAGTCTTTATCTCGAGGAATGATCCAATCCACGTTAGTCATGGTTTGATAGAAGATCAATTCCCTGGCTCTGCACCATCCATTTTGTTGCCAGGCAAAAACCCATTTGATCTCCCTTATGACCCACACGAGGAGAAGCTTGATCTCATGGCAGATAGCTTCCAACAAGAATTTTCTATCACTCCCCATAAAGAAATGTTCATGTGTAGGCACGAAAGTTTCTCTTTAGGGCCACATTTTCCACTACCGGGAATTCGTGATGGTCAAATGGGACATCCAAAGCCTAGCCTCCAATTCGGTAACAAGGGAAAGATAACATCATACTTTTGTATTGCACTAATTTCTTTGTATGAAACTTCTTATATAGATTTATTTTTTCCAGGCAATACTGATGAGCAAAAACCATCAAGGAACAAAGATTCAATAGCGCGGACAGTGAGTGTTACTGATCTTGTTACAAATCTTGTTGAGACAGAGGAACCAAATCAATCTCCTGGGAAAACATCATTGACCGAAGAAAAAGAATCAGAAGTTGTCAGCAAAATGACAATTGATCATATGGAAAGAATCAAAGAGAAGAACCTAAAAGAAGCTATTAATAAAACCGAAATACCAACAGAGGGAAATGAAATTTCCCCAAACCCACGACCTCCAGCCTTGCCTCGTCCGATTCCTAAAGCTGCAAGTGCAAGTGATCTTTCCAATGATGCAAGTTTGTCAATAATTCACCATACAAGAGTTGATGATCACTACCCAAATAAAGCGTCATGGCATACTCCGACCAACTCTGTTGCATCAGACTTGCAAGTGGAGGTATCAGAGGTCAGTTCTCCTCCGTCAACAGTGGATGGGGCTGATACCGACGATGATAAGTCATTGACTTACGATGCAGACATTGAGAAGGAGATCAATTCAGGGAGCGAGGAATTGTGGGGGTTATCTCCACATGCACCAAAGATAGGGAAACATGAATTAGCACTGAGATTTCTTGATGAGGCAAGTGAGGAAGGCATGAGGAAGACATGGTTATCGACTCGTGCTGCTGATGAATCTATAAGTGCAGCCACGTCTCCTGTACCACTAGAAATGAAATCACAAAGCCAAGTAAGGTCAAAAGATTTGGATGGGGAGATCAAAAGTGATGTGAAACAAGTTGAAAAAGAAGCAGTTTCAGAGCTTTTGATAAAGGGTAACGTTGGGCAACCGACGACTGAAAATGAAGATATAGTTCCTTTGCCGGATTCTGAGGTATTTATATCTATTACTTGTTCATTTAGGTATTTTTATAAGATGCTAGGATGATGAATTAAGGTGATAAAGTTTTAGTTATGTTAATATGGATTTTTTTTTTTTGCGGGAGCGCAGGTGTTGAAATATATTTATATATTGAGTACTTAAAAAGTGAATAGTGTTTTTTTTTTTTTGAAGCATGCACAACTCAAAATATGTCATGATTGCCTAATAATTAAGCTAACTCTCAAATGACTAATAATTAAGCTAACTCTCAAAACAAGTAAAATATGTCATTCACAAGTTTATAGAAGTCGTGCGTTATGGATGCTCTGTACCGCGTTATGGATGCTCTGTAGCCAACAATGGTGAAGAACTTGACAAAAGGTCGGGTCGACCAGAGTAGAAAAGGAATAAATAAATTATGGGTGGTGGCCACTCTAATATCGACTACATTGAAAAGCAAGGCAGAGGGTTGAGTCGGAGAAGGACTGCAAAATTTGTGGATGCTATGTAGTCATCAAACACAAAAAGCGGGGTAGAGGGGAAAAGGAATGGAGCACCTACAACCTAGGCGATTTAAGAGAAAATAGCAATGTTTAGTAGAAATAATAATTAGGGTAATGTCTATTTTTTATCCAAATCTTTCTCAGATTCTTTTATATTATCGAAACCTATTAAAATTCTATTAATTATCCAAATCTTTCATAATGCATCACAATATTAACCATTTTTACGTTATCGTTAATAATTTTGTAACTCTTTTCTTAGTTAAAATATTAAAATTTTGGAATATTGGCCTTCATGAGTCTATTCTAAGTCAGTATCATGTTGTCAAGTCAATATTACTAACAAAATTGCTAACTGGAAGTTAACAGTTGGCTAATTCTTAGTATTTCGATAGGTTTGGATAATATAAAAAAATCTGAAAAAGGTTTGGATAAAAAATAGACATTACCATTTTTTACTTTAGTTTAATTTCAAATGATTAAGAACTTACATAACCTTCAAAACAAGTAAAATATGTCTTGATTTCCTAGAAATCTACATATGTTGGTTTACAAAAGAATCTAACATTTCTAAAATTTACTTATATATTTCCCCACGAGGAGTTAAACTACTATAACTCGTGGTTTGTAACTTTGGATGAAACAGGAAACATTAGACTCTTTACATGAGGCCACCAAAGTAGAGACGATGATAAATCATGACACTGGTGAAGTTGATGGCAAAGATAAGAAGGAAGAACTAAGATCAATTGAACAACAAACCATTTATGAAATCAAAGACAACGAGTTGAGACCAATAGAGGAACTTAGTTTAGAACTTGATAGCAATATCGAGCGGGAACTACTGCAAGGTCCAGAAAAAGTGGCTGATGTTATAGTAAAGAGAACAACAGAACAAACAAATGGTTCAAGATCAACACAAGATTTGATTGGAACAACTGAGCAGTTACATCATGAAGAAGCTAGAGAAAAGTTGGTGACACTTGATCCTAGTATAGACAATAACAGTTTTGTTTCAGCTCAGTTACAGGAAACTTCAAGGTCTTTAGAAGACATTGAAGATTTAAGAGATAATACAGGTTTACTTGAAGTTGGTGCAAAGAAAATTGAGTCAAGCTCTTCATCTAAGTCCGTTCTACCAATTCAACCAAATATTAGGATAGAAGAAGATATAACTGATTCAAGCTTTAATACTACTCCAGGTAATCATAGTTATGTTCCAACTCAAGCAGATGAAACTTTAAGGTCCACTGAAGAAGTTAAAAATTGTAAAGAAGACATGAGGAGTGAGAATATTCAACAAATCTTGGAATCAGGTGAAACTCAGTTGACAACCTCAATTAAGAATGACAAAGAAACGCCAGACAGTTTTGAAGCTGGAGTTACAGGAACGAATCTAAGTTCTATGTCCACAACTTCACTGCCTATGCAACCGGAGTTGGCGGTGGATGACGAACTCATCAATCAAAGCTCATTGTTATCACCGGTTTCTGTTTTGATTGACATGAATCAAGCAACACAACTATCTCCTTCACCTATAAGAGAGCAGAGGCACAACGTGGATGACTTAGTATTTCAGTCAGAACAGAATCCATTGACTCATAATTCACTCAATGAACAACCATTATTAGAAAATTCTACAACTTTTTCAACAACAGAGCAACCACATAGAAGTACTTCTTCAGATGAAGCTGGCATCAATAACCTTGAAATGGTAAGTGATAATTATAGTTGAGAGAAAATCAATGTTGTGAACAAAATAATTTGTTATGGAATAAAGCAAGAGTTTAATAATTTTTATTGACAGAGACTCATTAATGGTTTGGTATAGGATAATGACCAAAGACATGATCCACAATCTCCACAGTGGAATAACAAGTATAAAGAAGAGATGAAACCTGCAACTTTGATTGAAAACATGTGTAGCAGTGACTCAGGAACAACTATTGGAACCTGTCATATGCAAGAAATTTCCAAATCACCAGGGGATGATGATTATAGTCCCAATTCTGCAGCACATGTTGAAGTTGCAATAGAGAATGTCACTAAAGGTGAAGCCAATGGGTCTCATACTACTCCTGAAGAAAAGGTAAATGGATAATCACAATTCTTTATTTCATCATGTTTATTCTTTTTTTTTTTCATTCCTCAAATAGCTAATTGTGATGTTAAACAGGTTGAAAACAAAATTTCTAGAGACTTACTTGAAGAAAACAAAATTGTTACTACTGTGACCCACAACAGAAATGAAGGTGAATCATTATTTTCAATCACCCAAGAACCCGTTGAAGAACCATCAAACCCTAATAACATGGTTTCCCACATACATGATAGAGCTGAATCAATGTCTATTGTAGAACAGAACTGCATTGTGGACCCTCTAAGTATAAATGATTTGAATTCCTCAACATCCATTGCAAGTGAGTCTTTATCTCCAATCAAACAAGAAGATGGTGATGGACCATTAATAGAAGCAAACTTGATATCTTCTACGGACATTCGTAATGAGATTATCGATTCAATTAGACATGAACCCAATGCTAATCCATTAAATCCAGTTGGCTCAATACCTTCAAATACATTCGAAGATGAATCATCGTCATCAATTGAACCAGAAGCCATTACTGAATCATTGAAAGAAGCTGATTTGGATGCTTCCAACAACTTTGAAGACTCCTTTATGTCCATTACTCAAGATGCAGAGGAAGAACCATTAAATTCAACTAATTGTGCCTCTTTAGAGCCTATCAAAGGAGGCTTAATATCACCGCTTAGAGAAGAAGCCATTGCAGAACCACTGGGACAAGCCACTCCCTATGACTTTGGTGGGAAATCCATGGAAAAAATAAGTCAAGAAACCATTTCGAAGCAACAAGAACTAGCTGAACCGGCCTCATCAAAGCCACTTGAGAAAGAATTTTTGTCATCAACACAACATGAGGGTAATGAGGAAACCTCAAAAGCATGTGACTTTATCTCTTCCAATGTCCTTGATAGTGAATCGACATCATTGATCGAGGACGAAGTTATTTCAAAATCATCAAAGTTATCCAACTCAATCTCTGAGGAAACTCTTAGACAAGGAGCACTTGTGGAACCACCAAAATCAACAGAGTCAAGAGCTTTTGGAAGTGAATCCCTGTCATCAATGATGCAAGCAGCCATTGAAGAATCAACCCAGCTAGATAACTTGATCTCCTCAAATACCATTGAAGGTGTACCCTTATCATCAATGAAAGAAGAAGTTGTCTTAGAACAACCAAAACCAATTGACTCAAGTTCCTCCAAGACCTTGAAAAGTGATTCGTTATTATCAATCCAACAAGAAGCATCAGCAGAACCCCATAAATGGGTTCCCATAGAAGTCCATGATGAAAAATCTTTATCATCAATCAAGGAAGAAGCCATTACACAAGAACAAAAGCTAGCTGAGGCAGTTTCCTCCATGAACCAAATTCAGGCAACAAATCCTCTTCAAAGTGAATTACTTCATGTTGATCCATCCAAATCAACTGGGGAAACTAAGAACTCAGGCGTCAATATAAATGGGTCTCATGAACAGGTATGAGACATTCCATTTTAGCTTTTTTCATATGTAATGGAATCTTGACACTCATAGTTATTATTTTTTGTTACAGAACATGGCAGTCAAAATTGAGAACATTCAGAGCTCTGAGGCAAATGATGATAGTGACCAAACAACAAATAAACAAGAGGAGATAATTGCACAACCCACGGGTAATGATGATATTGAATTGAAGGGAGAAAATCAAAATAAAGAAAATTCCTTAATGATCCCATCTCAACCACAACTTGGGGAGAGTGCTCCAACATGATAAAAAGGATGAAAGACACAAAAATTCTGGAGCCAAGTGCATAGAATGTAAGTTTAATGACGATTTTTCACATAAAAATGGGATTATTGAGAAATTGAAAAATATTTTAACAAAAAAGAAAATCAAAGAAGAAAAGAATACACCTGTGAATATCAGGTTGAGAATTTGTACATTATCTATTTCTCTTGTACAATATCAATATCAGCTTAAATCTTTCCCCTTATTTTCTTAGTTTAGATGAAAATATGTAATAGCATATATATAAATATGAAATGTTTGGGATAGAAGCACATGCATACACTTTGATAGCTTGATTCGTGCAATCATTAGAAAGTATTTGTTGATAAATTAATTTTTGTAAATGTTTATTAGAATTTTAAATGAATGACAATATCCTTTTTATTCGTATATACTATTTATTACAATATTTAGAAATATCACGTATACAAACTTTTCTTTGGTGAATCAATACATACACTAATGCACTAGTGTCCATTAAAACTTGCAAATTCCCAAAAAAACATATGATCATATAATCTGACAAATATAACTGTGTGATACCTTTTTCTCGTATGCTCGCAATAGCATTCAAACAATGTCATTAGTCCATTGAGACACATGCTCATCATGATTTGACTTCTGCCTTAAACCCCAATAGACAATGAAAATAGACATTCTGATTAATAAGTCTTCAAGACTTATTGGTTGCATTTCACAAATCATAAGACTTTAGAGTTTTGAGTCCCTTAAGATATCAACTTGTCCAAAATTTCTACGAACGAGATCCACTTAGAATTGACATAGTTCGCTTCCCTTAACATTGATCACCGAGGTAAAAAGACCCTGATAAAAATCAGTAGCAATACCCGCCTTCCCGGCTTCCTCAGTGACTGATAGACCAATAATTACACATGTTTTTACCCCTATTATTGAGCCGTTTGAGATGTCGATTCCCGCGTTTTAGGCCGATTTCACGCTAGGTTGTTCTTGTTTGTGATATTTCAGGTCCTAGTACGTGAATGAAGGCTTGGGAATGAGTTCGGGGTTGATTGGACAAGGATTGGACATTTCGCGGGAAGCTGATGGAGCCACACGGGCACGCCTACAACCTACGCGGCCTTGTAACCTGGCCGTGTGGCATCAATGGCACGGGCAAAAATCACACGGGCCGTGTAAGGGAACCCAGGTGGCCAAGTGAAGGCTCGACAATTCTCACACGGGCAGCCTGCGAACTCATACGGCCGTGTGGTTGTGGCCATGTAGGATGGCTGAAGTCCACTTATCGAAGTGACGTGTTTTGCACAACTCACACAGGCAGCTGGGGAAGTCACACGGCCGTGTGGCCTGGCCGTGTGATCGAGATTTTCTGCTTTTAACCCAATTTCCAGCCACAAGTGAAGGGTTCCGAGTTTTAGAGAGAAAAAGTGCGACCTAGAGAGAGAAAGTGACGAACCTGAGTTTTCGAGTGTCCTTGATCGATCTCCATCACCATTAGAGCCCGAATCGAGCTTGGAGAAGATCCGATTGAGTGCCAGAAGCAGATCATCATCCTTCACAGTATGATTTCCGCATCTGAGCTAGATTTTCCATCTCTCTCTATGGAGTAACTTTCTTATTCACCTGGATATGAAGAACCCTAGATTTGTATGTTAGGTCTGATTGTATGAACCCAAGTACAGATTCTATGATTTGATTATGTTCAATTGAGGTTTAAATTGTTGAATGGCATGAATCCAGATCAAATTACTGTTGTTTCTGCTTTAACCTAGAATGAGAATATCTGCCTAGGTTGACAGAGCATCCTTGATTGAAGGTAGTGAATTGAAGACTTTAATCGAGGAGTCAATTCACTATTATGTACCGGATTTACTCCGGTAGTGGAGGTTTGGTTTGTTAGGGCCTCAATCTGTTTACTCCAGTGGAGGTTAGTCGCCCGCTGGGGACTCAGATTGAGTGGGTCTGGAGACCTTTAGTCGAGACTTCAGATTGTTTAAGAACCCCCCGCAGTATAACTATCATTGAAATTGAACTTGGTAAATTGCAATCCGGCTTAACTGCAGTCTAGGGGGAACCATATCCGGGTGACCTCTCTCGACTTGAAAACAACCTTTTTACTTGCTTTGCTTATTTGGACCTGCACTAAAGTTTCACCGCTAGATAATAAGAACTCACTGAGTAGTCAGCACATCTAGGTCTCGGGTTAAAATTAAAACCCAAACCCGCTATACTACGCTTTAGGAGGTGGTTACACTTGGCCATTTTCTAGAGTGACAGTAGGAGCGAGTCAAGTTTTTGGCGCCGTTGCCGGGGACGGCAAGGTTGTTGAAGAAACGTAAATTCTGTTAATTTAGCTTTTCGTTTTCGCATTGTTTGCTTTGTCACACTTGTGCCTTCACGGGTTTGCTGCTTACCTGTGTGCAGGTAGTGCATGACCCGTAGTCAGTCAAGAGGTTTACTGCCGTTGGATCCGGAGCTTGAACGCACCTGTCGCCAACTTAGGAGACAACAGCGAGTGATAATTGTCGAAAACATATTGATTTCATGTGCTTAATGTGATTATTTCATAATACGTTTGAGACATATAATGCTTGTTTTCAGGCCAGCTGACTCCGGAATGGTTATAAGACCATTACCACCATGTGTTAGAATTTCGATATATTTTAGGTGGAAAGATAGAAATTGTAGAAGTACAAGCAGACAAGTGGAACACAAATCAAGTCTATGACCGAACCAATTTGGACCGGATTCTTGACCTAGCCCCGTTAATTAAAGTACTCATTGGACCGGCTTTGGATTTACTTGGACCGGAATTAAAATGCAGCAGGGGAGGATTATTTGGGCCAAGGGAGAGAAGGAATAAAAAAAGAGAAGGGAATTATATTTTTGGCCGGGAGACTTGGAAGAAGAGGAATTCTCTGGGGAGGAATTGGCCCAAGGGAATTGAAGGGTTGCTGGCGGCGGAACAAAGAGTGGAGAGCAGAGTTTTGGGGGGAAAAAAAATAAGAGAGTCTGGGGACGGCGGAATTTTGAGAGGGGGGCGAAAAGAAAGCAGCAGGGCGCGCAGCAGGGAACAGCGAGCAACGGCGATCTTGGTCGACAGCTAGGGCTGTCCATTTGGTTTTGGTTTTTCGGTTTTAACCGAAACCAAACCAATTGGAAAGCTAATGATTTCGGTTTTTTGGTTTTAAACCAATAAGCAACTTAATGGTTTTGATTTGGTTAAAACCGAAAAACCAATAGAAATCATTAAGAAATCAATAAGAAT